CACCACCTGGTCGATCTTCTCCAGTGGCACGAGGCGGAAGCGGTTCAGGACCCAGGTCTGACCAACCACACCTGGAGAAGAAAGGACGACAGTTTCACCTTTGTGCTGCATGAAATATCTTCATTTAAGGGTGGAGATGATTCGACATATTTTCTGGATTCAATTTAAATTCTGCGCGCCTCCTTTCAGCAGGGAGAGGTGGAGCGGGAGGGGGGAAAAGGTTAAAAAGGAGGTTTTTCTCTGTCTGATACGAGTGTGACATTTGAGCGTGCTCAGTTAAAGATCAGCCATGCAAAAGGTCACCGCGGGAAAAGCAAACAGAAAAGGACAAAGCTGGTTTATTCCATCGGCGATCATCGAGCAGATGCTCCATATTTTTCTGCTTTTCCGTGAAGCCGCCGTCTCCTCGCACTCTGAAACATATCCTAGTAAGACGCCGAACTATTTTAAGACACGATGGAAACCGACTGACCGACAGCTCTGAAAATGAAGATGAAGACGAGGGTGCAGGACACCAGGCCCGTGTCCCAGGCCCACTTTGACTTGTCCACAGCTGAGATGCCCAGGAAGATGAAGATGATGGTCTCTGCGATGCTGGCCAGAGTCTTCATGGTGTACTTCACCGTGGTTCGAGACTTCTGGGAGATGTTGGCCTCCACATATTTGTTGGCCCCGATGCCACAAAAGGTCATGCTGAGATGTGACAAAAAGACAAAGTGAGACATGCTGTAAAACTTAAAATCAGACCAGAGTTGATACAAAAGATGGATGGAAATGTTTTTGCAACCAGAGAAGTCGCCATCTGCTGATGATCAGAAAGAATGCAGATTTGCAGAACCCGCTCCATCTTTTGTACACTGCTAGTTCTGATTTATAGAGGATGGACTTACGACAGGATGGCGGACAGGGAGAAGAGCTCGGCGGTCAGGTAGGCCAAGTAGACCATCAGGAAGACGAGGAGCGGCTCGATGATCCGGACTTTCTTGGTGAAGCGAGTGATGAAGCCCAGGATGACGGCAAAGATCAGACCCACCATAGTCCCCCCGATACTGACGATGAGGAAGGAGGCTGCAGGAGAGGAGGAGGACGTAAGTCACAGGACTCAGGTTTAAGTCAAAGTTCGATCCTTTCTGTGGACTCACCGACTCCTTTGAAGTAATCTGCTGTCTGCACATTCTCTGCTCCCACTTCCACAAAGGAAATGTAGACTTTATATAAAACCTGCAGAACACAGACAGGTTTAGACTGCAGGTTTTTGGAGGTCTGAGCCCACGCACGGTCTAATGTTTAGTGATCTGCGTCTCGGCAAAATCAGTTAAAGTGCAAGTGCTTAATAGCACCACAAGGTGGAGCCTCATTCTGTTTTTGTTATGTGGATCTGGAGCGCTCATAGACTAACAGAGGTCATCATGTATGACCAGGCAGCAACCTTTGACCCCGGGGCTGATAAATGAAGCCATCCTGAGGTGATTAAAAACTGCAGTTCCTTGAGTGGCCACTTGAGGCTGACTTCAAAAAGAGAGTCAGTCCCCCAACAGCCTGGCACACAAATGGTTTATAGATTCTGTTCACATCTAAGGACTGGCAGCCTCAGCCGGCGGTTCTCTGCTCAGCTTCACCTCAACTTAATTAAGTTTTTAATATACTCAGTGTCTCAGTAGTGTGGAGGTTTACACGTATTGCTTCACACGCAAAAGATTCCAGATTTGAAAGCAGGAGGTGACACAGAGCAGCCTCAGGGGTCACAGGCTGCTGTACTCCGAGTGTCAGCCCCGTGGGAAGGTTGTGTCAGGTGGGGCACGTGCTGCAAAAAATCTGCTCCCAATTATTGCAGCTTCATTTGCTGTGGCTTCCCTTTGGGAAACCTCTCAAGAAGTCTGTGCTGCAGTTTCTGTGATTTAAACTCTAATACAATCAAGATGAAGAAACATGTACGGTGCATTTTTGAACGTACGGCCCAACACTAGTGATAACCAGCTGGATATCAGCTCACTTCACTGGGTTATATTGCTTTCTTTTTTATTGTCCTGCAGTGGAAACCCCCTCCCTGCTTTTCAAACACTGATTTCATGTCCTCTGCTCTCTAAGCTGATTCACACAGTATGAATCTCCACTTTATACCCACAAATAATCATTTCACAGCAGGAATTCCAGGCATTCTTACTGTTTACAGGACCTTAATGTGCTGCGTGACAACAGTAAATTATAGCGTGTGGCTTCGGGGAAGCATGCAGCACTCAGCTCAGCCTGAACAGTAATAACTGCGATGTGGAGCGATTGAGCAGCATTAGTGTGCGGCCAGCCTGAGAAAATGAACTCCTTCCTTCGTCCTGTGCTTGCAGGTCATGGCTGCAGCGCTCCCACACTTTGGATTTTTCCATTTGTTGGTGGGATTAGCTCAGATTCGGAGTGCTGCTGAGGATTAGACAGTTGCAGTGTTAATCTCCTCACAACTGATTAATCTCAGCTTTCTCAAACAGTAAATGTGAGAAAATGTGAAGGTTCTGCTCTTCTGTCCTGGTCCGTGTTCATCACGCAGCTCTGCTGCTGCGATTCGTCAGATTCTGTCTCTTCTCTTGTCTCTCTTGATGTGGAGTAACATCGTGAATCAGCGGACCTGCTGCCGCTCAGACCGGCACCAGCACCCACACTCGACCTTTCGCTGCCACCATCACTTCATACAAACGCAACAAGTGGAGTATGAAGTTCAGGAAACAATATGTTCGCACAAACACGGCCCACAGTGCGTCCTTGTGTGCTAGTCATTGTTGACCTTGTAAGCCGCTCTGTTGCCACAGCAACACACCTGACATGATGAGGCATGTGTGAGAGCGTATGTGTGTGTGTGTGTGCAGCTCTGCCTCAACATATCATGTGTTTCTGTGCTGGTTTTACACCTACTGTGGGGACGTATGTCTGTTTGCCACATTGTGGGACACAAAGCAGTAAAGTGCTCAATTTTAAGATGTGTTTTGAACAGGAAAATACTGTGTGGAGATGCAC